TCCTAGTAGCCTCCTTTCGTTGTTTAAATTGTTGGGCTATAAATGCTCCAGCTTTGTTACCCTGCGAGTAGTATTTGAGCTTAAGCCTTTTTATCATGAAGTCGAACTGAGAGGTAAGGAGCAGGCTAAGCTCATGTCTGAGGGAGCGTAAGGTGGAGGAAGTAGATGGGTCTGGGATCCTTTTATTGGACATTTCTAAAGTGCGGATACGGTCTAGAAGTGAGGTCAGTGCTTCATTTCGCTTCCTCTTCTCCCTTGCCCCCAGCTTAATCAATAGTCCTCTGATAACGGCCTTATGGGCATTCCACACTAACGTTTGATTGCTTACAGAAGCGGTATTGGTCTCAAAGAAAGATCCTATCTCAGTCTGGACCTGCTGTTTAATGTCAGGATGAGAAAGTAGACTAGAATTCAGTCTCCATGAGGTGCATAGGTGGGGGAGTTAGCAGAAAAAAGGCTGAGCGAGATAGGCGCGTGGTCAGACCACGTAATTAGGCCAATGTCAGCTTTTGTGATTAGTTGTAGAGTGAATTTGTCTACTAAGAACATGTCCAGCCTGGAATAGGTGCCCTGCGTATGAGAAAAAAAGGTATAATCTTTCTTACTACCGTGGATGCACCTCCAGGCATCGTGTAAATCAGCTGATCGAAGAAGTGAGGGAAGGGAGCGATTACCTTTTCTATGAGGGTTGGCGGAGTCTAAGGACGGATCAAGGACATCGTTGAAATCCCCACACATAACAAGGTGGCCTTTGCGCATGGCCTCAATTTCACTTAGTACCTTAGCAATAAATTTCTTCTGATGAAAATTTGGTGCGTAAACATTGACTAAGGTGAGGATCCGGTTGTTGACCGTGGCAACTAAAGCTATATACCTGACTTCCGGGTCTATCAGGAGGTCATGTTGTTGGAAGGGGACGGATGCCCCGATAGCTATCATTACTCCTTTATTTTATTTTTCCGAATGGAAAAAAAATACTGCGAGAAGTATCTGTTTTTACAGATAGGGGGTTTATCTTTACAAAAGTGGGTCTCCTGTACACATAGAATATCACTACGCAGGGAGGCCGCCTCCTTCCACAACATCGCTCTCTTGTTGGGGCTATTTAGACCCTTGGCATTTAGTGAGGTAATTTTTAGAGACATTTATATGCAAACCATGCCCATACAGTATGCCACGGGAAAAGTAGAGCCTGCAGACTGATGGATGTACACCAGACCCTGAATTCCATGGTACTAAAATGTCCATCAGAAGCAAATATAGCTACTAGTGAGACTGCGCATACATGTGTAAAACGAGAACTAGTAAGACTGTACTTAAATCGTACTAATAGAACAATTGCTGTGCAACAAACAAAACAAACAACAACACAGAATAACCATACTGTGTGCATGGCACACTCTTATGCGGGGGGTAAGCAACAAACCCAAAGAGTAGCGGCCAGAGGACCCTGAGCAACAGGAATAAACTTAATCTAACAAAAGGCGGATTCTTCCACTGGATTTGAACGAGCTTCCTGGGATCAGCTGGAGGTCCAGTCCATGGGAACCTTTTTGGCAGGCTGTGGTTTGGATGCAGCGATAGGCATAGTGATAGAAATGTTCCAGGAATGCAGGATCCGAGCACCATCAGCTCGTGTCAGTATAGGGATCGTCTTGCTGAGGTGAGAGACCAGCAGTTTAGTTGGAAAACCCCATTTGTAGGAGATTTGATTGTCGCGGAGTGCCCTAGTGATTGGGGCAAATTCCCTGCATTTCTGGGCCTAAGCAGCCGAGATATCAGCATATAGCGATATGTGGGAATACGGC